GGGATGGGATGGGATGGGATGGGATGGGATGGGATGGGATGGGATGGGATGGGATGGGATGGGATGGGATGGATGGGATGGGATGGGATGGGATGGGATGGGATGGGATGGGATGGGATGGGATGGGATGGGATGGGATGGGATGGGATGGGATGGGATGGGATGGGATGGGATGGGATGGGATGGTAGTGGAGACGTAAATTGAGAGGTTTTTGTAGCGAGAGCGAGGCAGACTTGTAGAGAGGGCGGAGGGAGAAGATGGCCTCTCCTCCACCGAAGTACCCGAGATCCGGGCACAACAAGTGTGAGAGCCAGGACATGGAGCATCATAACAACGTTATGAAAGTGAATTGTAATTGCTGACATGGTTCTTCCAGGTTGACAGAAGTCAGTTAGCCGCGCTGGAAGGCTGGTCTACACTGATATCTTCATGCGAACGGGAGTTCATTGTGAACGGGCTGGATCACGGTACAGGCGTTGTGAGGCATGGAGATGAGGTAACGTCGATCTTTCAGGTATCCGCATGGATGGGAGGCAGAGGTTGGAATCGAGAAACATCCAGCTCAAGGTTGTCCACCGAAGTCTACAGACTTAATTGACGTTGGATAGGTTGGCACGGTGCCCAGCTGCTACGGGTCAGCTTCTGTGCACTGTGGTGGAACGAAGGCGATCGCATCCGTGCAGGCTGAGCTGAGCGACACGGGAGCAGAAGGCTCGGGCGCCTCGGTGGAAGTGTCAGTGACGTGCAGCAATATGCCGAGCTCAGCTGGGAGGCAAGCAGAGGACATGTCTGCAGCCTTGACTGCGGATGCCAACCGAATCTTTGCGAGACCGATCCCCACCCTCATCAAGTCCCTCATGGTCTCAGATCGGCATGCATGGAAGCTCTTCGTGGACGTCATGCTGGTTGAATACGACGGTTGTCTGTTAGATGTCGTCTCCATCGCTGTTTGGGCTGCACTGAGTGACACAAAGCTGCCGACGGTAGGAATCAATGCTGCGTTCTGGATGCCTGTGCACTTACGTGTACCAACAGCTGTCAACCTTCACCAATGCAGACGGGAGCGTTGGTGTGGAGCTTTCGTTGGAGATGGAGGAGAAGAACAAGAAGCCGCTAGACTTGAGCTCGGTGCCAACGTATGTCTCCATCACGCAGGTACCTTGTGGTTTGTTTGTTCATGAAGGTGACGGCCTCCTCTAAGGTGGGCAAACACTTTATCGCCGACGCTACTGCGATCGAGGAGGCATGTGCCGGATGCAGGATATCATATGCTATCAATGCAAGGAACGAGGTGCAATTGATGGCATTTTTTTTTCTTTGAGATTGACAAGCAAGTGTACAGGTTTGTTGCATCCACAAGAGTGAAGGTAGAGGATTGAAACCAACACAAGTGCGAGAGGGAAGGGGGAAAATGGGTATCTTCTGACTTATCGCAGATTGTCAGCACGATGGGAGCAGCCACCCAGTTCGGATCGAACAGGATGAAGTTTCTGGACAAGAAGTTGCAAGGTCTCAGCGTCCTAGCTTCCTGTGCTGCACGAGCTCACTACTAACACTTGGCTGTGCCTCTCAGACTTGATCGACAAGGATTCAGGAGATGATCTGTTGGACCGTGATGTACTATAAAAATAAAACAATGCTGACTAATATTTTCGATTGTTTGGGATCTGAAACCCCATCGTTCCAAAGTTAGCATCGAAACGTTGTTATATACATACTTTTCAGATCCATGCCTCAGCCTCCGTCACGGTCCGTGGCCGCGGATAGTGCGCGGTCACACAGTCACTCGGCCTCGGCCCGGCGGCCCGGCTCTTCGGAGTGCCTCAGTCACGGTGCTGTTCCCGAGTCCACTACTGCCTGAGACTCTCAGCCGCAGTGATCAAGTTCAAGTTACATAAGAAACGGTTCTTCCCGGTTTACTCAAAGTTAAGTTAAAAATCAGTACGAGGACAATCAGGAGAGTCGAGGAGGCTTGACCCTGACACTGTCGCACAGGCCAAACGGCGAGAAGAGAAAAGGTTACTCAAAGTTAAGAGTCAGTACTACGGCTTTACTCAAAGTCAGTTAAGGTATCGTACTGTAAGTCAAGTTACTAAGTTACTCAACTGAGTCTCAGTAGCTGTCAGAGCCCGCCCGGCCAGACCACGCCCGACCCGGCCCAGCGGCCCTCCGCCCGGCCCGGACCGTACATCGGTTGAAGAAAAATCCTCGGTCACGGTGGTGCCACGGCGCGCCCGCCGAGTGACTCCGAGCCGGGGCGTCTGGCAATGACGCAATGTCACTTTTATGAGTAAAGATTGTCAGTAGTAAACTTAGAGAGGAGCGAGTGAGCGAGTCGTCGTGCCCAGTAGCCCAGTAGAGGTAGGTGGATGGTGCTTGCGAGTCTCGGAACACTAGAGAGATCTACCTCCTTGAAGCGGCAGCGTTTGACTGTTTACCCTCGATTACAAGTGGCTTTTTAACTCACCGTGACTGCTGCGTGTCAGAAGATGGAGTTAAACTAACGCATCACAAAACATGATTTTTATTTTGATATTAGGTGGAGGGTGGGGTACCATTGAATCATCCATGGGATACCTGAGCGGAAATGGACGGGTTGCGCCCCTACCCCTGTTGTTCCCAATCGGTGTGGCCCTTGGCAATCTAAAAGGATTTTGTTTGTGTTGTATTGGCTATTTCAATCGTTCCCAAATCAAGCTGTTTCATACCATGGGTAACTTAAAACAATAGTTTTTAGGCCAGAAGGGGTCAGAGGATTTGGATGAGGGGTAGGGTACTCAATTTGTACCTCAAAGGGGTCCATGGGTAGTGTTTCTGGTACTACAGCTTGATAAGGGTGGGTTGGGTGGCTTGCTCGGTAGAGGGTGGGGTGGAATGGGGGTTGGAACAGGGGTAAAAGAGGAATCGTGAGACGCAGAGATCGTGCAGGTGTTGTAGCAAGAGCAGAAGGCAGGAGCTTAATTAAGCACGCGGAAAGCAGGAGCGAGGAAGGAGAATCGAAGACGAACAAGTCCAAGGATTCGTAGCCAACACATACAGCTGCACCGAAGGCACGCGACACTGCTAGTCTTGACCACCAATTCGAATACGCAAGGAACGGAAGTTTTTGAGCTGAACTAGCCTCCTCACTCAAGAGATCATTTCGATTTTTCTTAGAGGGAGATTGGAAGCTTGGTTTGTGCCTGGATGCGTGTTGAGCATTGATTTTCTGCCGGCACATTTCGATATTCCGTCAAACCAAGAATCCGTATTAATGACGCAGGGTCACGAAGACTTCATTATGAGAAGCTCGTCAAGTGGATCGTTTCAGCGATCGGCTTCGTCAGATTGGACAGCGCATGCGCTGCATGACCCAGAGATATGTGCGGCACCTCTGGACTTCGACATTTCTCTCTACGACTTTGAAGAAAACCTTGACTTCGATCTGGACCAGAGCTACTTTCAGAACAAGCTGGAGGCGAAAGCGAATTTATTTGCGGGAGGGGAGGATCTTTTGGGGAGTGCTAAGAGCAGCCTAGAGATATGTATCAAGCCTTCAATCTCTCGATTCGGAGAGATCTTGAGGGGAGGGGTGTACTCCCAGTACGGGTTCGAATCCACGAAACACCCGGCGGAGAAATCCATAAACCGGAACGGGGACTTTGTGAAGGAAGAGCCACTGATTGTTCCGAATGCCGAAGAATCTAGAGGGAGAGATAGAAGGCTGAGCGAGGGTGAGCTCTGGCTGTGCTCGGCCCGGCTAATCTAGACATGCTTTTGTTGTCACATTATTCTTTCCACATCAATTATTGTTTTCAACTGTTGTCTTTTTTACTTTCAATGAAGTAAAATTACATCTTCAAAGAAGTGATTCCCCGATAGATGATTTTTTAATTGCAAAAGCGCAAAGATTTTCACATGTTTGAAGTCGGGTTGTCAGTCAAACGTTAGAGGCATTGGAGACACGGAATATAGAAGGATTGCAAATGTATTTCTGGTTTTTTAGAACTTGAATCGAATATTTCTGTTGGTGGGTTTGCTGTCTATCCTCGATATTTTCCGCCTTCACATCAAGAATGGGCAGCCAGCAGAGCCGGTGTTTTAAGACATAGTATGTGGCCTATGATGAGGTATTCAATCCGAGTCAGGCGTGGAGTTGAAGACAACAGGATCAAAGGATGTTTGAGTCAGATGAGTTTTGTCTGCACTTCAAAACTTCATTCAAGATACATTCATGATTGCCTCGACAGGTTAACAAGTCACATTCTACACAAAACAATGATCGGGTTGGGCGCTCCTCACTTCCTGCCACCCACTAGAGGCATTCCACCCGAAGCTCCCCTAGCACACCTTGAGTCAGTACACGACGACAACGATGTCCTTCTCGCTCACCATGCATCCAACTTTCCGCCGGTCTTGGAAGCACTGGCGATTACCTGCAGCCAGACATCACAAGGTGAAACTCTAGAGCCCGAGCACTCACATCAGCAGTGGTCGACTTGGACAGACCTTGCTCGCTCATAGCACGCTGCAGGCAAAGCCATTCAGTATGACTAACACACATGACCTTCCTTTCATCTCATCCACCTGGAACAGCTTGAATTCATTCTCAGTAACAGGTGCTGACATGTCTGAGTGAGCAACCAAAAGGCACAGAAAACAATCAAAATTACCAGCACCCTTAGCAACAGCAAGGAGCTTTGTTGTGCGCTGCCCGTTGCTCTTGATTCCTGCCACAAAATGAATTTAGATGTGTTCCCTGAAAAGTTTCCTTGCACTACGAATATGCTAACACTAGACGTCGTATGCCAACACAATACATCGTGGCATTCTACTTCATTTTCAATGTTTTTGACTTTCTGTAAGTCTCATTCAACCAAAAAAAATTCAATCGAACATCCCTCGCTGTTTGCATATTTCACTAAAAAAGGCCTTTGCACACAATGGACAAGCAATACGATATTGCATCAAGAATCGGCACATTGCGACAATAACGTTGAGCTAAAACGAAGACTTAATGAAACTCTCCATCAGCTACCACAAAATAAATGAAATAGGTTGGTGATCCACAGACCTCCTTTTTCTGCACTAATTAGAACATCCCATAAGACACCATCCCGACAAAGCAGACACCATCGTCTGCCCTTGTATGATACTTTTTTTCACGAGCTAAATTAACGCACATTCTTCATGCGAACTCTCATTCCCCCTCACATGACCTCTCGTTTGAACTCTCGCTGCCATGCCAGAACTCTGTCACAACAAATCCTTTCTCTCCCCTTCCTCTCTCCTCCCTTCCTCTCCCCTTCCTCTCTCCTCCCCTCCTCCCTCCATCCGCTCACCATGATCAGCAACGATGCCCCACATTGTCGGCGGTTCTATTTCCGGGCAAAATCATCCCCCTCATATTCTACCTCGTCTTCGGGCACCCCCGCGCCAGAATGTGTACTAGTGTACCGCGGAATAGCTGACTTGTGATCGGGGTGACTCGTCCGACGGTCAAGTTGAACTTCGGAGCCTCCGAGGCTCGGAGTTCGCCGGGCAAGTAGGCCGGGCCGCCAGTGCCGGCGGGTGACCGGCCCGCCGGGCCAGGCCGGGCGAGCCTCTGGCGGGAAGGCAGGATGAGTCCGGCTTCATCTGCCGGGCGGCCGGCCGGAGCGCCTGGTGGCCGCGCCGGCGCCCAGCCGCACGGGCAGGAGGTACCATTGCCCGCCGCCCGCGGCCGCCCGCGGCCGCCGGGGACCCGGGACGGGCACTTGAAAACCGTTGAACGGGAGTCCCGACGGGCCTGAGTCCTGATCGAACGTACGGTAGTCCAGGCTACTCCGGGGGCCAGTCCGGGGGCCGGGCCCGCCGGCCGCCTGAGCCGGATAGATGGGGATGAGGGTTTGCTTGCTGCATGAGGGGCACGATGGCGAATTGCACGTGCGGTATGGCGTTGTAGGGAGAAGAGTCGAGGAGGTGAGGACGAAGAGAGAGGAGGAGGAAGAGAGGAGGAGGAAGAGAGGAGGAGGAAGAGAGGAGGAGGAAGAGAGGAGGAGGAAGAGAGGAGGAGGAAGAGGAGACAGACGTAAGGGATGAAGAGGAGTGGAGCAGAAAGGAGAGGCAGAGGATGAATAGCCCAATCAGCAGGAAGCTTCTCGGGCGGGTGAAGTCTTTGCTGGAGGGAGACGGAGGGTCGACGCCTTCGGTTGATCAACTCACCGACTTGCTGCGATCGAAATATCATGACTGCGGGAAGATGCCCAGGAACAGCCTGCGCAAGGCAGTGCTGGTGAATGTGATGCCCCAGCTACAGGCTGAGCAGAACGCAAACGTGGACGAGGCAGTTGCGAGCGACAAGAAAAGGAAGCGTGAAGAGCAAGGAGACAGCGGGGACGAGGAGATGGCGGACGGAGAGGTGAAACTTGTGCAGTATCGCGATACCAACCGTGCGAACAGCGGCATGAGGAACTTGTACAAGAGCAAGTCAGGCGCAGGGCGGGACAGTGTGGGGGAGGGGGGCGAGGGAGCTAGCGCTACCCCCAAGGCCCGGAGCCGGACCATGACGGAGAAACCAGCGAGGAGGAGGGAGAGCGGGAGGATCGCGAGCAACTCCAAGACGGCAGAGATCCCTTCGATTCGATTCCGCGACCTTGGGGGCATTGAGAGTATCCTCCAGCAGGTGCGGGAGCTAGTCGAGTACCCCCTCGCTCACCCGGAGATCTATGCGCATCTTGGGGTGGAGCCGCCCCGTGGGGTCCTCCTCCATGGGCCTCCTGGCAGCGGCAAGTCCATGCTGGCGGGGGCGCTGGCGGCAGAGATGCACGAGTGTGGAGTGACTTACTTCAAGATCTCCGCGCCCGAGGTCGTGTCGGGCATGTCAGGTGAGCTGGAAGGTCTGCTGGAGGAGTGTGTGTGGGTGTGACGTTGAGAGCAGGAGAGTCGGAGGAGACGATCAGGGACTTGTTCAACTCGGCCAAGGCTGCTGCCCCTGCCCTGATCTTCATCGACGAGATCGACGCCATCACCCCAAAGCGCGAAAATGCGCAGCGAGAGATGGAGCGAAGGATCGTGGCGCAGCTTCTGACATGCATGGACGATCTTGGAACGCGTCCTCCTCCTGCTCAGGACTCAAAGAGATTCAAGTGAGCCTGTCCCTTCCTCGCCCCTCCTCCACTTCATCCCTCACCTTCCTGTCTCACAGAGACGACGTGGACGAGGAGCAGGGGAAAGAAGATGCCTCCTCCAGCGACATCCCCAAGACCGTCATCGTGATCGGTCTGCATCAGCAAGCGGCAAGAGACTTGACTTGTCCTGATCCCTTGCAGGAGCGACAAACCGGCCGGACGCGCTCGACTCAGCTCTGAGGAGAGCAGGACGATTCGACCGGGAGATCTGTATGGGGGTGCCTGATGAACCAGCTCGCCTCTCCATCCTCCGCGTCCTCACTTCAAGACTCCGTCTGTCAGGTTCTTCCTGCTCCTCCTCGCATGCTTGCTTCTCACACCCTCACCCGCTTTCTCCTCCCTTCTCCTCCCCATCCTCCTGTCACTCTTACTCTCACATCCTATGACTCCCTCTACCTCCTCTCTCTCTCTCTCTCTCTCCTCCTCTCTCCTCCTCTCTCTCTCTCTCTCTCTCTCTCTCTTCTCTCCTCTCTCCTTCTTCTCTTCCTCCTCCTCATGCGCGCTCTCTCTCGTAGGGGACTTCAACCTTGAGGAGATTGCTCGTCGTACCCCCGGCTACGTGGGAGCGGATCTTGCGGCTCTGAGCAAGGAGGCAGCAGCGATCGCAATCAACCGGATCTTTCAGACTGTTCTGGTGCCCCGTGAGCCGATGAACAATGCTGAGCGCGCCAAGGAAGAGGAAGGGAAGGAGGAGAAGGAGGGAGGAGGAGATGGAGAAGGAGGGGCAGCTGGCGAGGCGAGCGAGATGAGCGGGGCAAACAAGCTGCTGAACAAGTTCACTCCGTTGACGAGCGAGGAGTTGGAGCCTCTTGCGTTGACCATGAGCGACTTTGAGAAGGTAGGGAGGAGGATAAGACTGGTTGGAGGGAAGTGATGGGAGAGGCGAAGAGGATGCAAGGGAAGAGAGGAGAAGGAGGGAGAGGAAGGGGAGAGAGGGGGGAGGAAGGAGAGGGAGCGGGGGAGCGAGGGAGCGAGGGAGGGAGCGATGGAGGTGAGGGAGGGAGGTGAGGGTGGGAGGAGAGGAGGGAGGAGTGGGAGGTAAAGGGGGGAGGATCTGTGAGCTCTGACTGTTGCTCTCAGGCGGTGGAGCGTGTGCAGCCTTCAGCTAAGAGAGAAGGATTCGCGACTGTCCCTGACGTGACGTGGGAGGACGTGGGCTCGCTGGTACTGCTGGAGCAGGAGGAAGGGAGGGGAAGAGAGAGAGAGGGAGGGAAGGAGGGGAGGGAGAGAGGAGGGAGATGTCTCAAATAGAGGAGAAGGATCGTTGGAGGAAGAGGAGGAAGAGAAGGGAGACGAGGGAGAGAAGGAAGACGAAGGAGACGAGGAGGAAGATAACGAGGAAGGAAAGGAGGAAGGAAAGGAGGAGGAGGAGGAGGAGGAGGATCTGACAATCTGAGCAGGGAGAAGTGAGAGAGGAGCTAGAGCTATCTATCTGCGAGCCCATCCTCCACCCCCAGAAGTTCTCTCTCCTGGGTCTCAGTGCTCCCACGGGCGTCCTGCTCTACGGCCCGCCCGGGTGCGGGAAGACGCTGGTGGCCAAGGCGGTCGCGCGAGAAAGCGGCGCCAACTTCATCTCAGTGAAGGGACCTGAGCTCCTCAACAAGGTCAGAAGAGGAGGCAGATCG